TACGCAGCTATGCAATAAATATTTCTATATTCCGTGCTTACTTAATTACTCACAATATTAATTTTTATATTAATTTTCAATGTTCACATTAATTTTATATTAATTTATTAATTTTCAAAGTCACATTAATTTTTATATTAATTTTCAATGTCACATTAATTTTATATTAATTCTTATATTGATTTTCAATGTCACATTAATTTTATATTAATTCTTATATTGATTTTTAATGTCACATTAATTTTATATTAATCTTTATATTAATTTTCAATATCATATTAATTTTTATATTAATTTATTAATTTTCAAAAACATTAAAATTTTATTAATTTTCTGTTTTTATTATATCCAGCAGAGGCAAACTTTCGAAGAAAGGACGTAATAGTTTACAAACAAAGAGAACAATAAAATTGAATAATTCCTGACATGTGATTGGTCCAACGGATGTCAAGATGACTTTTGTCATGCGAGAGTCTATATTACCATACGTGCACTCAACTTGCACTCAAACTGGATGAAACACGTTCCACTATAATTACATTAATAAATGTAATCGAATTGATTTAATTAATTTAGAAAATCATTTAATGATCTATGTACACATTCGACGGTGCACGCCATCTAATGCGACGTTCAAGCGTGAGTCATTGATAGTTACATGCCAGCATTTTTTTTGCAACAATAAAATAGAAATATAAAATTACAACAATAAGAAGAAACATTAAATTTATTATTTATATTGAAATTATTGAAATTATTGGAACTCTTAAGGATATTATACATTAGAAATAAATAATAGTAATTAATGGAAACTGTGTATTAATATTTATTGTATATTTTAAATAATTATTTTTTGTTATTATTGTTATATATAGTTACAGGTACTCATAGGTGGCATTTTAAATTGAGGAGAAAGTATTTAGAAATTACATTTGTGTAATTCATTGCGTCTGAAGCTTGGAACGTTATGGAAATTTATTTTATCATAATAAAATTATAGAATGTCGAATTAAATTAGTTAATTATTAAATTAGTTGACTCTGTTTTTACAGAGCAATAATTTAAATAAAATAAAAATTTACTTTTTGTAACTTATATAGTAGAATAAATATTCAAAATATTCAATTCTAGTTCAATAATAACAATAATAAAGGAACATCTTTTTTTATAACATCCTCCAAGATAATTTTCTAAAATTAATAAAAATGAAATATTAGAATATTAGTGAGAAGATAAAAATTTTAAAAATCTTTGAGTAATGTAAAAAATTAATTTAGTTACAGCAAAAATTTAAGAAATCTTTGAGTAATGTAAAAAATTAATTTAGTTACAGCAAAAATTTAAGGAATCTTTGAGTAATGTAAAAAATTAATAAAAAATTAATTTAGTTACTATTAAATTTAAATCAGTTTAATATGAAACGAAGAATGTATAACCTGAAAAAAGCTGGAGAAACAGCAAAAAGGAACTAGAATTTAGTAGCACAGACAGTCAGAATACTTGTCCACCCCACTCCGGTGATTTGAATGTTATGAGCCCTGGAGCGATCGGGGTGGGGTGGACAACCACATACCGTGTGCCCGCCGGTGTAGTCCACTTACTGACTACTCGAGTCGAAAGTCATGGCAATCGTGGCATACACGAACGAATTGTGGTTCGCTGCAAATGTGGAATGTTGAGCTAACCATGTTGGAGTCTGCATTAGATGGAATAGAAGCCAATTGAAAGTAGCAAAAAATGGTGTCACTAATAAAGAAACAATTATTGAAACATCTGTCGAGGTATTTACACGGGCGAATAATTAATCGCATTTCCCTTATCTCGAGCTCGGCGTACGAAGAAAAATTGCACAATCCTTGTTAAATTCGAAGTCACGTCACAAATGTCTATAATTGTAAATATGTGTGTTTCCCTTGAGGCACAGATTTGTTGATGTTATTTTTATTGAATCATCAATACCATTTACCCTTGGAAACAAGGATAATTGTTAAAATTATCACTTCGAGCTAATTAGTCTGGGAATGTCATTTGAATGGAAATTAACTGTCCGAGTCTTGTGCTGCGTGGCTAGTTTAGAGATTGCGATGGATGAAACATAAGGAAAATCATGACGTTTGATTTTGAATTTATAGGTTCACCAAGAATCTTTCAGCGGATAAAATAAATTTAAGTGCACTTAAAGGGGAAGGCGAACTGTCTAATCTAGAACTGGACGAAACGGTTCTGACGGATTTGCTGGAGCTACCGTCATGGCTCAGATTGACGAACGCTTGGTGCAATAAAGTTTCGTTTCGCATACAGTGGACTAAACTGAGAAGTGTTCCTATATATTTGGTAAATATTTCTAAATGTATACGTAATCGTATAAATTACAAAGTTCTGAATATTGTTTTCTTAGTTATTTAATGTATTTGATAAAATAAGAATATAAGATAATGTTCTTTTCAAATTGATATTCAAAATAATAAAATTTTGTTTCCTGTAGCGTTTAGATGAAGTTCATATAGAGGTAGAAACATGTGAAGATTTAAGAGACTTATCTTCTTCGCAAGAATCTTCGTATTTAGGTCCTACAAAATATTCTTTCATACATAAAGTAATCGATGGAATAACAGTAGCTGTTAATACTATATCGGTTACTTTTAACAGTCCTGCATTTATTGCTTCGGTTCAGGTATAGTATTATATTTATTTTTATGCGTCTGTACAAAGGTTTAGAAGTAAAACTATTGTATATTACAATAGATTATAGAGAACTTCTATTTATTTTATAATTTCTATGTAGTTTGATCGATATACTCTTAACCAGTTTTTAATTATTTATTTATATTTCTAGTAGTTCATAAAGTAATTCTTTTTACTGATTACTTGTAATACATTTTCTTTTTCATCAGAGAAGTCTATAATTAAGATAAATGTTGTACAGTGGAAACTATAAAGAATAATGTTTGGCCATTTCTTATAAAATTTTTATTTCTTTGTGTTATAGTATTACTTCTTAATTTATAAATATTAAAATTTTTATTTTCTAATGTAGAATTATAAAATTATAGAACTCATTTATATACACATATAAATATATTGTATAAGGTCTATATTTTTGACTCCAGGATTTACTAAAATGTGCTTCGTCTGATTATAAACTTCTTTCTTAGTCTTCAGACACTTAGTCATGTATTCTAATTCATTTTATCTTTTGACCTTTACTTCGTCTTATCTTCTCACATCTTAACTGAGTTTATTGTCATTTATCTTGTGCTGTTATTTACTCCTCTAAATATTATTCCATTGTCAGCAGTATCTTTTGTTTATTTTACTATGAGCTGTAACTAGATTAGCCAATCTTCTCCTTAGTTGATTTAATGTTATTTACGCATGTACAACACTATCATTTATCCTAATTTCATTTCATTTTATTTCTTTCATATTGTATCGTATTCTTTTTTTTCTTTTCCCTTCTCTTCGTGAAGTGTTTTTGGAATAATGATTATTAAAAAATATTTATTTTACCATAGATGAACCGTATTATTGTGGAATCAAAGTCGGCAACATGGCAACGTTGTGATCTAAGAACTACTAGAGTGAAAGATTCCGATCGTGGGCAGTTACTTATTTTTAAAGAACTCGAGTGGCAGACGGTTAGAATAGAAGCACAAAGTACTAAAGATAAAAATCTTACTCCATTACGTCTACTTACAAATCAAGCAAGATGTCGAATCACCATCAAGAAAAGAATATCAGGTTGAAAATATGTTATAAAATATATTTATATGTTATAAAGTGTTATAAAATATATTCATATGTTATAAAGTGTTATAAAATATATTATACTTGTTGCTTCTTAAACGGAATAGAGAGATATGAAATGTTTATTTCAGATTGTTTTGTTATGGGATCAAGGCTGATTCTTATATTAGATGATCTCCTATGGGTATTAACAGATTCGCAGTTAAAAGCAGCCCTTCATTTTATTGACTCGCTTGGAGGTTTAATAGAAAAGGCTACGATTTTAGAACGCAAAGCTAAAGCCGCTAGAAAATTAGAGGTAAGGTAATATTAAGTAAACGTGATTATGTTTATGTTATTATGATTGTATTTATTATCTTAATAATTTAAGGTATTACCAGAGTATCAAGCGCAAATATCACAGCAATCTAGGACGAAGAATCAATGTAACACGGCCATTGCAAAAGTATTTACTAGGTACGATGTTGTAGAAACATCATACCACTTTCTGTGTCAGCGAATTGATTTGCATTTATGTGATGATGTTGGTGGTAAGTAACTGCGAACACGTATCTTTAATATTTGCTCTTACATTGTGAATGTTTATGCGAATTTACAATTTCATAAATACATTTTGAAGGATCAAAATTAGACATTTATTAAGCGGAAGATCAAATAGAATTTATTTTATGACTATTCGCATATAATAGAAATTTATAAAATCAATTTCTTGGAATAATACTCTGATGTTTTCGTAATATTATTTATTTCATAATCAGATGGTAGATCCTCTTATCCTGATTTAAAAGACGGCGGTGCACTGCAAATTTCACTAGTTAGATTTCAAATTGATTATTATCCATATCATTTGGCAATGGCTGACAGAAAACATTGGGCTAAATACAGAGAGAATGCTACTCCGCACAGTCAGTGGTTGCAACAATCGTTAAGTTCATTTCGAAGTCAGTTCATGGATCTTATTGATTCCGGTCGAACTCAACATTCTCCTTTGACAAGAAGTCAAGGGAACGTTATGGGTTCGTATCCAAAACCTTAATAAATTCAAGTAAATTAGATACGTGGACATACGATACTATCATTTTGAAATACATTTTTCTTAGTTGGTAATGCGAAAGGTTCCGGTGAAAATTTGGAGAAGAATAACCAAACTCAAAATGCCAACGTGTTTTCCCACGAACAAAAGAAATCACAGCATCCGAGTGGGAATCCAGTGAAAAATTATATTCTAGAGCAGCTTGCCAAATTAATGACAACATGTATCATAATAAGGATCGATGACTTCACTTTGTACAAAGTGACAACCACATCTCGCAATCCTGTACCAAAAGAGTTCGTTACAGGTACGCATAAGTTTAATAGTTACTTTTATTCGTAAAATCTATTTTATGAAAAAGTAGTTTTCGTTTAAACTCTTCGTAATATATCAATAATTGTTTCGTTTAAAAATTGCACAGCTCAATCAAGGAAGAAACATGCAACAGGTATAAATTACTAATAGTTGTAGTATACCTACATTAACATTACAAATATTTGCTAAAAGTAGTTTTGTCTTTAAAGAGTTCTGTTGCTTCTTGTGTTACATTATTATTGTTCAATATGTTCTACGTGGTCTAAAATTAATTTTTAACTCATTTGTGCCTAAGATTTTTAACAGTTACGATGAAGGTATAATTAGTTCTTACAATTACTCTGATGTAAGATGTGAATTTAAATATAGTTAAAGCAAATTTTTTGTTATATGTTTTTTAAAAGATACACAAATTATACAAACTTCTTAAATTAGCAGTCTATATTATTATTTAAAGTTCTTATGAATTAAGAGTTATCGTTATACATTTTTCTGTGAAATTAAAATTGAAACAAATTTAAATAATAATAGCAATTACAAAAATTCTATTGCGAATGAATCCATAGTATCTTGTTTTCTTAATACTCTTCATCTTTTTTATAGTTCATGAAATAAATAATTAAAATATAAATTGAATACAAAAATAAAATAAAGAATCTAATACACATTCTGTGTGCGTTTTTCAAACTGCATTCATTAAAAACTTCAGAATATAAAATATTATTTCAACAATATTAATTTCATTTGAATAGACTAATTCTATATTTTTTAAAAAACATAGAATAAAAAATGTGTTCACTTAATCACACATAATCATTCATATTAGTCTTGTGCAAAATTAATTGTTTCGTGTTTGTTACATGCATCTTTTCATCAGATTAAATTTTAAATAAATTTTTATTATACGAAACATATACATAAAGCATGTATGTAATCAAAACATGTGTACCTGTCTCCATTACAGTATTTTTGTTTCACTTAGGTGAGAGGGACAGATTTTGTCTCCCAGAAGATGTAACGATCCTCCACGCTGAATTTACATATTACTATTATCCTGGAGACATTACATTTCCATGTAGGTATACATTTCATATTATTACTATTATTTATGAGATACATTTATTTTCTGATAGGTATTTTATAGCTGTTATAAATTATTTTTCATGAAAGATGTAACTGAGAATACTTTGTTATTGTTTAGTGCCGCCACCAAAGTTTTACGTACAACTGAATCCCATTCAAGTAAACTTCGATGTTTGTTCCTGCTTATGGTTTAATTCTTTTGCGTTGAACTTACATCACTCTCTAATGAATAAAGATAAACAAACAACACATACTTCCATTAACTTAATGTACTTCGATGTAAAAATTGAAGCTATACTTCCAAGAGTAAGTGCTGACATGTACGACGCATGATGAAATGGCTGACAGTATTCCGTGTACAATATAATTATCATTTCCAGATAGTTTTTGAAAGTCAGCAGGATTATCCAAATCAGAAGGACAGACCGAAGTCTTTGCACATTCAGACTTCAAGAGCATCGATAACAAATGTTCGATCTACTGAAAGATCTTCGAGAGCAGACTTGGCTCAATGTTTGAACACCTTTCAGATGGGTCAGATGTTCTTCAGCACTGAATTTCCAAATAAACCAGATGATTTTCATGTTGTAACGGATAAATTTCTAGCTCATTGTTCAGGTAAATATTTTATATATACAGCGAGTAATGAAAATATTTCAACACATGCGTTGAATAAATTAACTTATATCTTAATCATCTACGAAAGGAATCTTTTAACGCATCTACTTCTTTTAACGCATACCAACTATAAATATTTCTTTAACAGAAAGTCCTTCGTTTCAAACACCAAATCATTACAAGACTAATATTGCAAAATAAATTTTCTAATCTTTGTCCCTTTCCCTCAGAAATTTGGAGCAGTTAGTTTAAGGTTTCTTCATTTTCACTGGCAATGCGTATTAGGAAAGCAAAAAATTTACTGCTAATATATTTAAGAAGCAATGTTTCTTTTAGGCACTGATAATGTTCGCCATCCGCCAGCGAATTTTAGCAGTAATTCTGTAAATGAATTAGTCCGCCAATTGCATCGAGAGCTTTTGTGGACGGAAGCCAAGGACGTGTGGTGTTGTAACTTGGAACCTGTTTGGGGAGACTTCTTTGGTGCTCGTGCAGTTGGACAAAATCGACCGGTACCATTTCTGGATGCATTTCCTCTAACACTATGGTGTTACATATCAATGAATCCATCGAATTCTGAAAAATTTTCAACTGCTGACATCCATGGTCTTGCATATATAAGCAATTTAGTTAGCGTGCAGATAAATCATTATCAATATTTATTTTTGTTGAGACTGTCAGAAGTTCTGTCAGAGATGGCAACGTACTTAACCATCGATTCGAACAAAATATTGAAAGTTAATTCTGGCAGTTCACTTATTATCGGTGCACTAATACCACAAGTGGAAGTGACCTTCGTCATGCCATCCCATACACCTGGGAAAGAAAATTCTGGTGGAGATGTCGAATCAGTGGTACCGGATACATCTAGTATAGCAGATGAAATCGTAAGTTCAGCTGCTCCATGGCAGAGTAGCGTAGAAAGACCTGACTTCAGTAGTAAAAAGATTAATATCAGTAATGAGGTGTTGACACCGCAAAGTGAGGTGTCTTCAATATTGTCAACCGACTTCATACATTCTGTTGCTCCAACTCAAACCGTTGTGACATTTAAGCAAAATGGTCCAAATAGACATGATCAACAACTGTTAACGAATGCAACGCATGACAGACAATGCATTGGCATAGAAGAAGAGAAAGCAATACCTACTATGCGAGAAATTAAAACTGTGCCAGAAACTGCGTTCAAGCATAATAGAGGAGATTCATCCTCAAATGCACCGTTCATTCCAAATAATTTTAACGTTGGTCTCTCTTCGATGAAAAAAGGTTTGAGTAATTTAATGACATCAATTGACTCTGCTTTGAAAGCTTCCCCAGAGGATGGCAGCAGTGACACAGTATCCATAAGAAGTGATGTCAGTTCCGATAGTGAAAACTATGTTTTGGTTTGTCTCCAAGATCAAGAAAAATTAGACGCAATGTTTTCTGTCGATAATGCAATAACATCAGTTGAAGAAGCTAGCGAAGTGGTTGAAGAAACTCCCGACACGCAAAGCGAGAAATCCTTGGATAGTGTATGCAAACGTAAAGATATTGTAAGTTCATATTTTGTGATGTATTAATATAACTATATAATACGATAGTAACAAATCGTAGTAGGAATATGCTTGGAAATGGATGGAACTAACATTATTCTGTACGCGTCAAGATAATACACTTCAGCATTTTCATTTTTTAGGTGTCTATGGCAACGTTTAAACTATCCAAAGTTGAATTCATTCAACAGTCTTGCGGTTATACGTCTTCTATCAAAGTTCAGGTGTCAAACGTTGGTAACGATGAATGTTCATCTATACCATGGGATGAGTTCCAGGTGAGACGAACATATATTAATTTGAATATACTTTTGTTTGTCAAGATTATGCTATTCTTAATCTAATTAATAGATTTTCAATATTGAAATTTTAAATATTGTTGCAATAAAAATTGTAATTTTTTTAGTGTTTGTTTCGCGTAATTTCAGTAGAACTTTTCAGTTCAATTGTTCAGGATGTTCAATTTTAATTTATTATTGCTTATTATTCGTGAGCTATCTGTGTATGGAAATATATGGGAAAAAATTGTATGACTTCGAATAGGATGTAACTTAGCATGAACAGACGGAGGTTAAATTTATTTTTTCAAATGAAACTATGTACATTTTAATGCATTAATCGATGCATGAAAATTAGTTATATCAGAAATCACTAATTCAGAAGATATTTTAAATTCAATATTCTAAAAGCAGTAGTACATTTCATCTACACTTACATTTTTTTAAACGATAACAGTATTTCTTCATAAATAATAAAGGGTAACAACACAAATTGGAACATATCATTTTACGTGTGATTTTATTTATGATTTTGAGAAGAGGACGATGAAAGCAGAGAATTTGGTCAAAACTTCAAACGTTCAAAGTCATTATATAACACTGATAGGTATTAAATACAAATATCAAGCTGTTTGATCACGTATAATCTTACGTCAGGTTAATATATAATGTAAGTTAAAATTATCAGTACATAAAACAGATTTTAATTTCTATTCAGATATTTTTCAGACTTCGCATTCTTTTGTAGGTGTAGATAAATGTGTCAGTATTATTTTGCAATATAAAAATTGAAATATCTTTTAAGCTAACAGTTCTTTTATAGGACTTAATATATAAATAAATATGTACATATATATATATATATATATGTACTTATATATATATATATATAAGATTTTATGTAAAAAACAAATTTGTTTTTCATATGATTTTCATCAGACTACTCGCAAAGAAATTATCACATTAAATTATGTCCTCTTTGAAGGTATACCATTTTTGTTGAATATTTTCTTTATACAAGTAAGTTGTGAGTAATTGACGATAATAGATTAATATTAAACATCCTATGCACACTATATAAATTGCTTTCTCTAATATAAAGTGTTATGTTTATTTTAAATTGTGACTAACAACCAACCGAGCCATAAATTGTTTCTCGATTAACATAAATGAAACATATTTTGATTTCTAGCCTTGAAATTTTCATTATAATTTATTCGAACGATAGAAATATAAAATTCTGAGACATGGAAAGACATGACGATGCAGTACGGTGTTTAAAGACATAAATTTTCTTATGTGATCGTACTTGGAATGGATTAGTGATTAACATTTTGTTCATAGTTACATATTTCTGTCTTACGGAGAGAGAAACATTACAATTTTATTTTTCATTTTATATCACATATATTATAACTATTTTATACTGTATATGTATATTTATACAATGTTTGTCTTTTAACTTTTTTGCATGCTTCTCCTGCGTCTCTCCTTCTCTTGTGAATGTTTTTATGTGGCACTTGTGGCAGGTCAAGAGGAAGGTATTGGCAAAATACTCATATATTTGTTTATATTACATGCCTTGTATTGCGTATATTCTGTTGCATGTTTTGTCTTTTAGTAAATTATATTATTGCTATACAAACGTAATACACATATTTTATTATAAATGTTTTCACGTTATCAAGAAATTCTTTTCACTGATTTTGATTTGCGTTAAAGGAGATACCGTTTAGAGACATCCCAGATACAGGTAAACTTTAGGAATGTTTCTGTTAATAACTATTAAGTGAAAACTTATGATTCTGGTTGTATAACTGTAATAGTTATTAACAAAAAAATTCCTAAAATTTATCTAGGCTGTCTTTAGGTGGCGCGCATCCTTAAGTGAGTTTACGAGTAAATTTGAGATTTATTTTTTACTTCACGATTAAAAAATAAGTTTATACAGCATGGTGTGAAATGAAGTTTACTTGGAATGAGTTCAAAAAGCTTTTGAATGTCATTGAAAATATGTGTATTAGTGTATACTTTTGTAAAAATTATAGTAATCTCTAGCATTGTACAAAATATAGAATATTCAAGGAATTTTGTTTGTAAAATATATTGTAGCTTTTTTTTCTATTTGTGAGGTTACACACTTATTAAATGTGTGTACAATGTATAAAGCATTAACAATGATTCACACTTAGTTAAGAACTACAACGGAGTTGAATAAAACATGTATATTGAGTATTTTTCGTTTCATTAATAATCGTATAGATGTTGTTAATAGACTGTAAATTATTCTTCATCGATGAAAATTAATATTACTTTTTAAAAGTAAAATGAAAGTACTCGAATTGTTAATATTCTTTATGAAAATGTTATTTGAAAACTCATTTATCGGTTCAATTTCTCAAGTAATATTTGCTATCGCTAAATTATTTTTAAGATTGATAGAATTATGTTGTCTAGTTAGTGAAAGTTGAAGTTTGTGTTGTCCGATATTTATTTTTCATTTTCATATTCTACGATGTTCTGAATAATTTAAGAATTATGTGTGTTATTTTGTTTCTTTCTTTTCCTTTTGTTGAGAAAAGTGTATTATAAACTACTGTGATTAATTTTCTTAAATGTTTGAGAATTTACATTTTTCCCATTTATTAATCGTAGAACTTCTTTCAATATTTTTCGTTCATATTATAATTTTGCATCTGATATTTCCTGTTTATAAACTGTACAACTTATTTTGTATGATTACAATGCATTTATAAGTTATGATTTATAAAATAGACAACAATTTTTATAATGAAATAAAAGAATAAATGTGTTCGCAACAAGTTCTGAAACATCAAATACATCCATTCTTTGTACGAATTTATCTTTTTAATATTTTTCTTTCCTAGACAAAATTCAGTGCACGATCTAGAGGTTGGGTCGAACTAGCCTCAGATTCAAACTGTAGATCATGTATCAAACTTCGTTTGGATCATGATTTGAAATGCAAGTCTGATTCTTACAAGCTGTCTCAAGCGAGCTACAACATGAGTAACAAGAGTCTGCATTCGTCTCAAAATCAAAGTTACAGTACTGAACAGGAAGTAGACGTTGGGGTCATTGATGTACATAACAAACAAAGTGTATTAAATTTGTTCGAAGATAAATTAGACGTTAAAGTTACTGACATATCAATGACTTTGTCGATGAGTTCAATAAGTGGACTTACAGATTTGATCGAAGATGAAATTATACCTAAGCCAATACCGATCCAGGTACACAAAATAACTACTGCTATAACCTCCTATATTGCATACATATATATATATCATAAGTTTTAAATTGTAACAATATTTCTTTCAGATATATTTAGAAAGTATTTCATTACGTTTAAATGAAGATCGTCCGCCAAATAATATAACTTCACCAGGACCGATTCCTGTAGATATGAATATTGCAAAGCTTAGAATAGTACGAGATACAAATGGTGTTTTTCACATTGAACCAGTTGGTAAGTAATAACTTATGGGACTACCGTACTATTGTTTTTGCCACTTGTAATTTGTATTATATACTGTTCCGTTCATTATTACCAAAATAGCTATGCTGTCATGTGCGTAACATAAATGTAAACAGCGATCTGAATAAATTCAATGATATAATAGGATATAGTTTCTAGCGAATTCTTAAAGTATATGCAAGTGGCAGGTATATCTATATTTTTCCTTTTTTTCTGATTAATATCATACATTATGTAACTGTTCTTTGCATTCAGATGGCCTTCTCAATGTGAGCATTGATATTACAACAGTAGATAATTAGTATTAAAGTTTATTGCTTATTTCGATCATTTAATTGAACACGATCATCTACATGTAAAGCTTTTGGATGCGCATATAATTAGATATGATTTTCCTTAGTTCCTTAAAAATTGTCTGTGTACTATTATGCATATTTATCTCGATGCTTATGATCAGTGCATACGCACTTCAGAAAACAGCATGAACGAACAACATACATATATTACCAATACTTATTATTATCACATGAAATTAATTTATTAATAAAAAAGGCTATTTATTATTCATATACAAAATTCATAGCTTACGTAATACATTAAATCGTATTAAAAATCTGTTTCCTTTCTGTCAGTTTATCTAATTAAAATATTCTGTTTTTTAGTAAACATGTTGAGTATCACTGACTCATTCACAACATTGTCGAACAATGATAATCAAACAGATCAGAAAGTAGATCACGAAATAGAACTGAACGTCTTGAGAAAGTCGAGCAAACAATTGAAGTCGGATAACGAGGAGCTTCGTCGACGTGTTGACACACTAGAGAAATTATCAGAAGAAAACGCGAAATTGATGCGCATTAAAGAGGAATCCGAGATAGTTAAGTTACATTTGAATACAGCACAAGAGGATATACAGATGCTTCTGCGAGAAAAGAAAGCCTTGCAGGAAACAGTAACGGAGCTTCAAAATCAAATAATTGGAACTGGTGGTACCCGTGCATCTTGGTCAACCAAAAGATAGCATACCAGTTGTTTCGATTGCTCAAAGTGTTGTAGTTCGAATAAGTCATAATGATAATTTTAATAATTTTCAACTGACTCTCACGTCGAAGTAATATCTTGGTCCTTCGATTAATTTGAATTCGGTTGTGTAGTACTTCATGTCAATAGACTTGAATTGTTTTTGTCTGTCGTACGATATATATATTTCTATTACATTCGTAAGGAAAAGACATTAGTATTATGCATATTACAGTTCATTGAAATTCATAATTCTATGTTTTCCACATTAACGTATCTACTATGATTTTCTTAGTAGCTGCGATTCAAATCTTGTACAACTGAAGACGAGGATAAGTTTCTGACTATGATCAAGTACAAGGCGATAAGTAATGGCAATATTAGTCAGTGTTTAATATATTCATTAACGAGCAGAAACTAATTGTGCGAATGTTACAAGTAAGTATGTAAATGCGTATTTACTATATGCTACGATATATATATTATATTTATTATAATGTATATACAGGTATATTGAAATTTGCATATGCATATACATTGTACATACACACGCATGTATACGCATATACAGTATATTATATAATGTATATTATATATATATAAAATATATATTATACATGTATAAAATGTATAATGTGTGTACGGTGTGTGTATGCGTGTAACGTGTGCATGCGTGTGTGCGTGCGTGCCTGTGTATAATACACGTAATATAAAATACTAGTCAAAGTTGCAATATAAATTTGGTTTCATAGCAATGGTTATTATCCGATATACTAACAGAGAATTGAACATAAATTTTTTACCGATGCTTTTATTTTCTTTATCAGAAATATTTAGATAATTTTCATGAGTAACTTTCCACCGAATGAAAGGATACCATATGTTAATGTAATGAATATGAGACTTTAATCGATAATAAAGTAACGTATTGTTTATGCCTACGGATAGATTTTCTAGTTCGGCAAATGAGAACATGGAATTCATTGTAATTACATAATGATATTGTAATTACCAATCCCATCGTTTAAGAAAGTAGGGAGCTCTAAATATATTGATTGCTATACGATATGCAGTGATAATGTGGAATGTTTTATATAAATATGTTAAACTATAAAGTTAACGTTGTGTTACTTTCGGTATTATTAATGAACTAAAACCTACGTACTGATTGACGTTCATAATCTTACCTACATAACCTTTGAAAATGAATATTATTGGACTATATTAATGAGAATTATAATCTGATGATGTACTATACTGATGTCGTAATTTGTCGTTGTGATATATTGACATTTATCATTGTTTGCCACTGAATATAGTTGTACCGATGGGTTGCTGGTCAATCCTCTTGTCATAAAACTTGAGGTATTTTTCTAATACCTGTTTGCTAATGATTGTTACGCAGCTGTTTCCCTTAAATTTTAGAATTCCTTTTTTTAAACAGTCTCTTCTACTATGACATACTCACCTTCGTTCATTACGCAACTTATTTTTTTGTACATCGTACACCTAAACAAAATTCATATTATCATTTATGTTGTTTCTAAAATATTCACAATGCAGTTTGTTTTATTACGTGGCAAGGATAATGTGAGTGTACACTTTATAAACATATCATTCGGTAAAATGAATTATTCTATATTCACAATTTTTTATAACAGTTATTTGAACCATCGAAGTAAATGAATATTCATTTCATAACAGGCGTTTTAAAGGAACGACAAGAAATTTTGTATTATAGAATTTTAAGACGCTGACACACCTTAAAAGATATATACATTTGTGTAAAATAGTAAAAAACAAAGAATATATATTTTTTTATTAGTGGAGACCCAAGTTTATAGAATAAGAGCATCCTCTGAAAATTTGCGCTCCTAAAGTTAGTTTGGAATTTGCTGGATCTACTGAAACATGGTATATTTGGAAAATAGTATATTTATTTTTCACCTAAATTGTAGAGAAATATACTATTACAAAAACTTACGTAGAAATGTTACAAATAACTACAATAGTTTATGTAAATCAGTTACATAGCTCTTCAATTACGATAAACTTCAATTCTTTAAATAAATTTCAAGAGAACTATTTTGAAACAAAGTTTGAGTGTATTTTAAATTTTGGAGAAACGCTCAGAGAAAATATTTTCTCAACAGTGAATACGAAATATAGGTAAACCGCATAGATGAATTTTTTTAAACTTTCTGAGTGTATAAGTTCCTTTAAATAAAGTGTATGCTTATGACTGTTACTGTACTTTTTCTAAAAGCTACTATAAAACAAGTTTTATTTACTCTACTCGCTTGCATAGAATAATATTTTTATCGAAACGTTACAACAGTGTATTGGAATTTAAATGTTAATAAGAGAGTATCACTGTAGTTAAGTATACATATTACGTTGACACTTACAGTAGAAGTATGTATTATAGTAGAATTGACTGTATTTATAACATGTAAATAAATTATGTATTTAAATTTATCAGCAGGAATTAAGTACGGAAGTTTTAAAGGCATCTCTTCGCAATTCGATATTACAATTTTAGATTTTTGTAATGTACATTATATTATATTGCGAACGTTTTGCTTATAGTATATTTTTATCATTCTTTTTTTACTTACGATTAAGAGTTTTTAATATTTCATGGGATTTAGACTTTCTTTTATCATGTATTATTAAATCTTATACAATTTTCTTATTAATAACATTAATCTGAAATGCTTCCTTGTAGTTAGTGCTTTTCTTTTTATTAATTTTTTCCATTGCTACAACTTGGTTGAAAACAATGTTTGTACTATATATAACGCGTGTATCATCTTCAGCTAGTGAGAAGTTGATTTTGTGATTCATGGGAGCTACGTTTGTAACATAATTGATTATTGACATTTACAATTATGATCTCTAGAATATTTGTATATAAATTATAAATATTCTTTGTTTTTTTACATTCAAATATTTTGTGAATTTATTTTATAAGTATACATCACTTTTATAATTCTTTGATTAACGTTTACTATTTCAGTGACTATCATTGTACAAGTTTTATTATAATGTGTGAGAAGAAAAATATACATCACTTTATCATAAATATGATGGTATTGATTATAAGAATTGTTCACATTTGTGCAATATGAAGTTACTTTCTAAACCGAATATTGATAAGCGACAAACAATAATGATCATAAATTTTATGTACGTGCTTAAGCTAATAATATTTAAACTAAGATTGTTTGTATTGCATATATAATAATTATAGTAGAACCTCAGTTATCAGAGAATTACTTTATGAAAAATACATAATTTGATTATACAAATATTTTGATATGAAAATGTGCAGTTATATTAGATGCGTAGTACAAAGGATATGAAACATTACAAAATTTATAAGGAGTATTGTTTCGTATCGCTACAGTTTGTAGGATTGATAATAAAAATATAGATGACCGTAGCAGTAAAGAGTGTACGAATTTAATTAAGAACAATATTATCTGTCACGCTAGAAGTATAACAGTTTGTAGATTAGGGAAATTTCAAAGTTAAAATAAGGAACGATGAAAACGACTGCATTATTATTTGAAATATTCTCTACATTTTAATACGCGTAATATATTCTTCTACAGCAAATAACCTTCCTGTGAATCAGTGTATAATTATTTACTTATGTAAAGAATTACGCAAATCGATTCAGATTATTGAGGTTCTACTGTATTATTAATGATGTGTTACGACTATATTTATTATATTTCTCAAGAAAATTGATTAATTATCAGATCTTAATATCTCTATTATGCTTTTATTTATGGTTTTAAACATACCTTTTAATTATAAATTACAAGACTACGAGTGCTAAGTGTATTCGCTGAAAGCATCATCTTATATGATTTTCAGAAATTATTGTCTTCGATTTCCTTAATTATATTCTTATGTTTCATTTTTCTGAAATATATCTTATAACGTGTATTATGATTTATAAAATCCATTATGAAAATAAGAATGTAAATAAATCAATACAATTTAAACACTTTACTGTTCCCAATTTCCTTGACGAGAGGTAAGTGTGATTCGCTGTACCGGTTACACAATTAACATTCACGTATAATATTAACTGCGAATGTAAATGGAACATTGTGTTATTCGAGTTAATCTTTCCCTATTAAAAATAGATATGCACATGACAAAATTAATTTCGCTACTTTGCATATGTAAAAATAAAGTAAAAGTTTTTTAACTTGTAACGTTTAAAAGTATTACAAAATTTGTTATCTTATTGTCATTTTGTGTATATATAAAAAGCATAATATATATAAAAACATCTAAATAATTATAAATTTAAACAGCAAATAAATAGTCAATCTTTTGTATCTGTTTTACAGTGTTAATTTGTTTGTTTTGAGTTTCTGGAAAGGAATTGAAACTTGTCATTTTATTTTGCAAATATCAAAACAGTTTTAAATTGATTAGTATGCAATTTAAATAATTTACACCATGAAAAATATAAGTATGACACAAATTTATTAAAGCATATTTTAAATAACAATATTTGTCAAAGTCAAAAATGTTTATATATAGAAATAATAAGTGTAATGT